CGACAAGTGAGGGGGAATGGGGATATCGATGTGGCTGTGTTGCCACAGCATGCATACCCGAGCCAGCCCGCGGGCTTCATCAAGGGCGGCCAGGCGGCGTCGAGCGCCAGCTTCGCGCTCGGCTTGCAGACGCGCTGTACTGGACTGGCGTTGCTCTAGCAAAGCAGATTGGTGCTCATCCTGCTGTAGCTGCTGATGCTGCAGGACAACGAGCCAAGGTGCAGGACGACAGCCGTGAGAGAAGACAGGCTCGGGGTGCCGAAACCCATGCCGACACAATACCTGCTTGAAGGCCTGCAAGTGGCGAGCCTGGGTGCGTCGGGTGCGAATGAGGTCATCCACCACGGCCGTTTGGGCGTCCTGTTGCCGCGCACGCTGCTGTTGCGCCTTTCGATGCCGATCCTCTTGGTCGGTTGCCATCTAAGCCCCAGGGCGTGAGGATGAGCGCCCAGAGCAGGCCGAGTGCCAGAAGTATCAACTACCGGAACACCAACACACCTGTCGGTGCCGCTCCCGAGCACGCTCCTCCTGCATATACGCATTAAAGAGCGACATGATGAGGGTGGTAGCCCCGGAGGCCTATCCACAGGCCCAGCGTACTGGTCCACCCGACCGGCAGCTTCACACGGAGCCAACGATCGGCTGCAGATCCCCAAAGTCCTTCTGCGCGCGCCAAAGTGTGTGTGTGTGTGTGTGTGTGTTTGGAGCGAGAAATACAGAATTTTCAAATTCACATGCAAGCAGAGAGACGTGCAGATTGACGTCAGGAGTCAGAGATGGGTTGTTGCCGGTGCCAGGATGCAGAGAAGTAAAGTTGTGGATTTGACCACACAGCATAATATCAACCATATTAAGAGATGCTATCTATTTGATAACATCTCAGAGACACAACTGTCTTCGAACCAACTTAGAGACAAGAGATGTCGACAAGAAACCTAAAAACCATGACAATTTGTAAGACAATGATGCAAAAACATGACATTCTGACATTTTCGTGGTCGCTGCGGTGGCCGTTGTGTGCGCGCGCATGTGTGTGTGTGTGTGTGTGTGTGTGTGTGTGTGTCGTCCGCGATCTGGTCTGGCTCGGCGTGCTTGCTGTGAGGGTGGGGTATCTGCTTCGGACGATACGTTGCGTTGGGGTGTTTGGTGGAGGGGGCCATGGTATTGGATAAGGGCAGAGCAGAGCTTGTTTGACAGTGGGTTTGGATACAGCGTGGCAGCGGCCTTTGGTTGCCATGATGCAGCTGCTGCTGTTTCTGATGCTGCTGCTCGTGGCTCCGGTTCGACCAAGTGTGGATGCTGGCGACCCACAAGGTTGGTGCAGCAGCGGTGCCTTTCGATGAGAGATTGAACATGTCCTGTTCAGCTCATTCCGCTGTCCCACTTCGGCTCTCGTTTGCACCCACCAGGAGATCAGATTCCCGGACTCTACGATCAGTGTGCCGCCGTGGCGAAGCTCCACGCTGACAACTTTGATCACACAGTCATCGGCTCCCGCCAGCCCTGGCTCATCGAGTTTTACCTCAGCTGGTGTGGCGGGTGCATCGAATACAGCCCCACCTTCAAAGGTATCCGAGCAACACTGCGTTGTGACCAATCGTCGATCATCGTGCCCCGCGAACGCTCATCGTGTGTCTCGGTTGTTCTACCAGGCATTGCTGGTAACTTGAGCACATGGGGCGAAGTTATTGCCGTGGGTGCCGTCAACTGCGCTGCTGACAACAACAAGGACCTTTGCGCCCGTTACCAAGTCACGGATTACCCTACGCTCAAGGTGCCAGCTGCGTGCATCCTCGCGCTGCCTTCCGCCACACCTGCCTGCGACTCATCCCAAACGTCACCAGGTCTTGATCGAGTCGGACACACTTGATATAGCAGCAGAGGGTGTGTTTCCCGTGCTCAAGAGCATCGCGTCCTACATGACCATTCCAACTGAGGCCAGGTCCGTGTTTCTTTGTTGCCCGTCTAAAGACTGCATCTGCGGCAGCTGCTTCATTCATTCACCTGAAGCTAAAAAAGCAGCCCTTTGTGATGTCTCATCATCGGCTCGCACCTTTGTCTTCTACCCTTTAGAAATCAACCCAAGAGTGCCCTTCGTGGGGCAACACACATCACGGTGACCGGGGATGCCCAACCTGAACTAGTAGACCTCGTCACGCTTGGCCTTCAAGCCTTGCGGCCGTCGACATCCATCACACAGACCCGTGGCGCCGGACCTGCCAGCGTTCTCGTTACCACCACCGATGCTGGGCGAGACCGGGCGCATCGACTCTCCTGCGATGCAGAGTCGGAGGAAAGTTGCTATTTCCGTCTGCTGCGAGACGTGTATACCCTCCTTGGTGAGCAAGTGCAGTGCGTATTTGTGTGTGTGTGTGTGTGTGTGTGTGTGTGTGTGTGTGTGTGTGTGTGTGTGTGTGTGTGTGTGTGTGTCCGTCCAAAGGCTTGGCTTTTGCTGCAGGCGCGAATGGATGCAATCGTTGTTGCTCATGTGCCCTGCTCACACGCGCCTCGCGCCTGGCTTCTGCTCTGCAGGTGCGCGGGAGCTACTGCGACCAGAACGTGACATTGCCAACCCTGCCCCTTTGCAATTTAGTCCTGCTGCAGACTGCGATTATGCGCTTGACATCCGGTCTGCATTGGCGTATCTTCTCAACCATGAGGTGCCTGGCCATGGTCTCCTGACCGGGGCGGTATGTTCCCGCATTCGCGTTGCAAATCTGTAGCACCGGCACTTTAGCTCACTCCCTCCCCGCATCTATAGAAATTTGTTCACTTTCGCGCATTCCTCAGCGCTGTATCCATGACTGTGAATACGGGAGTTTTACAACCTCACCTGGACGGCCTTGTTGGGTACGCTTCAGACACAACGCGACCAGCGCCAAGCGTACTCTCCTCAAAGTCCGCTGCTTGGTTGCCGTCGTGGCTTGGGTTGCAATAGGTACTTATGGACCAAGGACAGCGTGGACTTGCGCAAAGTCTCCCATGGCTTCAAGGGCCAGCCCATTGAATGGTACCATTGCCGCGGCAGTAGCCCTCAATATCGCGGGTGCGTACCTTGCTTGTGTAGATCTGATTCTCCACCTGGGTTTCTCTCACACTCTCTGCTGCATCTCCTGCAGATATCCTTGCGGCCTTTGGGTGTTGTTTCACACCATGGCTGTCCGTGCGGCCCGTGCGCCCAGCGCACCGGCCGCAACAGACCTCATGGACAGCATTCGCAACTACATCATCAACTTTTTTGGGTGTCGCAATTGCGCCGAACACTTTGCACACCTCTCGCTAACGGCCAAGACAGACATTCTCATTGACAACGAGGGCCCGGTCAGTTTTGTCCCAGGCGGGCTCGTTGTGGCGGTGCTCGAGTCGTGGGTTGAGGCCCTCACTTTCCTACTCCCGTGACGTGATGTAGTACGCTGTTGCTCTGTGGCTGCACCGAGCGCACAACAAGGTCAACGCGCGCCTCGCTGGGTGAGTGGCGTGAACCATATCTATTAGCGCTGCCTCCGCATCAGTTAGTACTGGCTGACAGCTTTGATGTGTGGCATCCGTCTCGGGGCAATTAATACACAGTGACCGGACCGAAGATCCGGCTCATCCCAAACAAGTCTGGCCTTCAGAGGCAGCCTGCCCAACATGCTACACGCGGGGGACTGAGAACACTACAGCGCTGACCCGCTATATGCAGGTGAGAAAGTTGTCGCCTGCCCTGAGGGTCCGGGCGCTTGCTCACTTGGACTGTGTGGCCAACTGACGGCACCCTTCCTAGCAATGCTTTGGTCGAGAGCGCCCCGGACTGGATGGCGTTGAAGCAGCCGGGCATGCTGCGGGTGGAGCTTTGCCCGTCACAGCCCAGCGCTTTGCGCCTGTCCGAGAACACGAGCACAGCCATCATAACATGACGACCCTGGGTCGGTGGACGCTCGTCGGCCTGGCAGTATTGGTTGTGGGCATGGTCCTGCTGCTGCAGCCCACCCGGCGTTCTCGCTGGCGCTCTCGGGCTTTTAAGGTCCTCAACGGTTTGGTGTAGGCCAGATAGACTTTTTATTCATATGACAGCTGAACATAGAGAAGGTGCGAATTCAAACTCGGATCAGAAACATTGGTTCTTTCAGGGCTCCCAGGCACAAAAACTCGACCGCTTCCTAAGCACATGACACAGTCACGGACCTACGGATCGAGCTCAAAGAGCGGCCACCTGTTGCGACACCATCGAACGACATAAAAATGATGACATTCCCTGCATCAGTAGCGTTAACCGTTATCAGCTGCAAGCGACACACACACACACACACACTTCTCTCTCTCTTTTTTTTATTTTTTTTCCTGTTGAGGCTGTTGAGCCCTCAACCGGTGCCATGGTGCTGTGCAGCGATCTGGATGCGCAGCTGGAGAAGCTCAAGCGCTGTGAGCTCATTTCAGAGGAGCAAGTGGTTGAGCTCTGTCGAAAGGCGCGGTACGAACGCTTCCAAATGCAACTGAGGCAGGGAAAAGAACACCAAGACTTGCAAACGGGCGCTGATGCTGAAGTTGATGTTGCCCAACCACACAGCGAGATCCTTGTCGAAGAGGCCAATGTCCAGCCCGTGCAGAGCCCAGTCACGGTAAGCTCGGGCCAGAAGGCTCTGTGAAAGGTGCTCTTTTGGGGCGGTGGAGCATGTATGCAAGTCGATATTCACAAAGGCGCCAGCGCGCCACTTTTTTCCCAGCTGACGATCCTGCATTGCATTGCGTTTCTTTTTTTTTTTTTTTTTTTCTGATTAGATTTGCGGCGACATTCACGGCCAGTTTTACGATCTCATGGAACTCTTCGAGGTTGAAAAACCACCCCCACCTTTGCGAGCAGCACTGATAGCTGCCCGCCCAGGAAAAAAAACCGTACGACTGTGCCCTCACCGGCAATGTGACATGCCCTTTATAGATTGGTGGCGACGTTCCGCAGCGTTCCTACGTCTTTCTGGGAGACTATGTGGACCGTGGCTTCTTCTCCGTGGAGACGTTTCTTCTGCTCCTGGCCCTGAAGGTTGGCTCCAAACAAGCAACCATTGCGCATACCTTGCCTCACTTGACTGCCTGCGCTACAAATCGGGGTTGTCACGGTTTGCTGCATGGTGTGACAGGTCCGCTATCCCGATCGCGTCTATCTAATTCGCGGCAACCACGAAAGTCGTCAGATTACCCAGGTTTGTGAACGATGTTACAGCTGTTCAAGGTCATCCAATGACGGCCCAACCTTCTCATCCGCCCGGGACTCACAAGGATCTCAACTTTTAACCGGGCTAAGGTGTATGGCTTTTATGATGATTGTCTCCGCAAATACGGCTCCGCTCATGTGTGGCAGTACGTTGCTGCCGGCCTAGCCTGTCTGCCTGCCTGCCTGCTTGCTGCAGGCGCAAACTCTTGCTGCAAACATAGCCATGTCTCGTTTTTCCTTGCTCACTTGCGTGGCTCTTTCACCCTTCTCCAGACTCTGCACGGACGTCTTTGACTACATCTCGCTCTCCGTTTTGATTGACGACGAGGTAGCATTTTGCTCAGCGCGCGCTTCATCTTTCATTTCTTGCTTTCTCTCTTTTGAGCTCTTTTCTTTTTTTTTGTTCTTTGCCGCATGCCCATCATCTTCACATTTTGACTTTTGTCGTTGAAGCCTCACGTTCTTCTTGCCTGGGGGGTATCTGTGCGTCGATGCAGGTCTTTTGCGTGCATGGAGGATTGAGCCCCAAGTTATCGCAGCTGGATGAGGTACGCTTCTCACTTTGAGGGCTTTGATCCGGCAGCTTTCCAAAGCATGCCCTGACACCTCAGCTCGTGGACGTAGATTCGCATGATTGACCGAAAGATTGAAGTACCGCACGAGGGCCCCATGTGTGACCTCCTCTGGTCCGACCCCGAAGGTGCGATTGAGAGGCTTGGTTCAAACCACAAAGTCGATGCGAGTAGCATCGACGCTTTTCTCATCGTTGCCCGTCGACACGATAGACATTGAAGCATGGGCCATGAGCCCGCGTGGTGCCGGCTTTTTGTTCGGAGCGTCCGTGGCGTCGCAGTTCAATGAACGTAACAACCTTCACTTTATTGCACGGGCTCATCAGCTTGTCATGGAAGGATACAAGTGGCACTTTACCGAAGAGGTTTTGACCGTTTGGTCGGCGCCCAATTACTGCTACCGTTGCGGTAACATTGCGGCAATTTTCGAGTACAACGGGTCACACAGTGATCCTCGGTACTCGTTCCGGCTCTTTAGCGAAGCCCCAGCCTCCAAGCGAGGCGCGCCAGTCCGCCCTGCCCCCACCGAGTATTTCCTGTGATTTGCGGCCAATGCCTTGCCTGCCTTTTGTCTTTATCGCCCAAAGGCGTTGTGCACGCCGTGCCCTAGATGTGCGCTTGTGTATATCCCCAATTGCCATTTCAAGCCTCCTTGTCTCAGCCGTTTGTGTCCGTGCACACAACATGGCCTTGTGTGTATTGCATGATTCTGTTTGCGTTTTCACCTGCGTCTGTGCGCGTGTGTATGAATGTTGTTTGCGCCCTTGGTTGGCCAAGAGAAAATTGACGCACAGCCTCGTGGGGAACTGAATCTGGTCGCATTCGCACATTCACACGTGAATTGTTCCTCCCCCAAAGGAGAACATAAATTGAACTTTCAAATTTTGCGGAATCAAACTGGCGGCGTGACAATAACGGTGGTGCTAGCGAATGCCACGCACCGCCTGGAGTGCATCAAGCCCAAGCAATGGGCGTGCATTCCACGCTTGTGAACGTGTTTGCTTTGCTTTCGGTGACAGGAGAAAGAGTGCAGCCGCCTTGACGTCAAGCGTCTATGCAGAGGGCTCGTTGATCGTGCTGACCTTGTGCCAGGTACCGTCAAGCCGGCTCTTGTACAAAACAACCTTGTTGTCCGCAGAACTCACAGCCAGGACATTGCCCGTCATGGACCAACTCACACGCCACACGGGGACATCGTACTCCTCCAGCACCTTGGGCTCCCAAGCGCTGTTTGGGGTTTGCTGGGTCCAGAGGACGACCTTGCCATCCTGAGAGCAGCTGGCAATGATGTTGCAGCTCAGACCCAGCGAGGGTGCCCAGGCCACATCCCGAATGCGCTCTGACAACCAGATGCCGAGCGCGTGTCGTGAGCGCCGTGAATGCCCGTGTTTTGTTAGCTGCAGCGAATCAAGCCCTTCGCCGACAAGTGCTAGGCATGGGGCCAGAGAGATGACAAACCTTTATGCGTTGCCGGAGTCAGGGCCACGCCGGCAGACCAGCCCGACTCTGTGTGTGTCCAGATTTTGAGGCTGTTGTCGCAACCACCACTGACCAGCTTCAAGGTGGGAGTGGTCTCCTCCACGGGCTGCAGGGCTGAACCAGGTCCAATGGCTGGGGCCCAGCTGAGACAGGTCACCCCCGTGGCATGCGCCTGCTGAATGCGATTTGCTTGCCACGAACCATCTGACTCTGATATCAGAGCACCGCCAGCATAGACACAACCAAGAGTGTTGAGGTGAGTACCAACATGCACGTGAGGCAATAGAGCAGCCAAGATGTGGTGGGCCAGTGGGCGGAGAAAAGAACCTTGGTAGTGCAGGATGGAAATGTCGCCGTCCGAAGATCCGCAGGCAAGCGTCATTTGCCCATACTCGTATGGTGCCCAAGCAATGGTATTGACTAGATGACGAGGGCATGAGCAAACCAGTGAGCAAAGGTCCAATCTTGACAAGACTCGAGATTTCGTTTCTTTATTTTCTTATTTTGTCTTGTTTCTCCTTCCCACACTCTCCCTCCCCGAACCCGGAAAAAAGAGACCACACCATGACCAACCGGAAGAGTCATGTTCACGATACTCAAATGTGTTTTCCCAGCCAGTGGTGCCTTCCTTCCAGATGACAACACGGCGGTCGTAACCGCAGGTGGCAAGGTAGTTGCCAAACTTGGGGTGGGCCCACGCCACTTGCCAGACGGGCCCCTCGTGCCTAAACACAAAAGATGCCTTGGTCAGGACTCTCCAAAGTTGCCGTTACGCACAGACGGGGGCAAAGGCAAGCAACCACTGAGAAGGCGTACACGCGGAGCGTTTGGATGAGTTTGTGGTCGTTGTCCTCCACAAGGAAGATGCGCACAGTGTGATCCGACGAGCAAGTTGCAAGTCGCTTGCCATAAAAGTCCATTTGAGCGTCATGCTAGCGGTGTGCCGGGGAGGAAAAAAATAAAAAGGGCACACATGTTGAGACTGGATGAGCTTGGCAGCAGGGTTTGCTTTGCACGCTTATGAGGCGGGCGGGCAGGATGGGCCGTGGCCGAGTGGAAAGTAAATCGTACGATCATGTCCTCATGGGCAGTCTCAATGCTGGAAAGCGGGGCTGCCTACACACGGAACCCGTCGCAAAGGAGCGCAATGCCAATGAGCTAGATCAAAACTGGCGATACACATCCACAGTTGGTGCACACCAGCCCTTTCTGCTGAACGCAAGCCGCCCAGATACCGACCATGATGGATCGTTAAAGAGTACTGAGCTCGCACAGTTGTCCAACCGCACACTTGGGAATCCAATGGAATAGTGCGATAAGACTTCAAGATTTGAGTGTACACTCAGCACCAAGCCGTATCCAAAGATGTTCTTTGCCGCCAATGCTAGTGGGTCCGTACACCCGTTGCCCCTGTGACTGCTATCGGTCCTCGTACGCCGGCTGCCGTTTTCGTCCTCGTTCTCGTTCTTGCGATCAAAAAAAAAATTGAGAGGAACGATTTGCAAGCGACACAACAACTGTTCACAACTCTCATTTGAAATTTTTAATTTTATCGGGAATAGTTTATTTTACAAGCATACCCGACGACGAGGTGTCCGCGGACAGCCGAACGACGCCGACAACGACGACGACGACGGAGGAGGAGGCGACGGCAGCGGTGGCGGCGGCGGCATCATTGGCAGCGGGGCAGCAGATGCAAAGACACAGGCAGGCATTGCAGTGTCGGGCCCGGGGCCTGCTGAGTCTGATCGATTGGGTCAAGTTGTACCGTTCAACAGCCTTTGTTTGATCGGAGCTCAAGGGGTGCCTGGAGCATGATGGCAGTCACTTCGCGATGGCCACAATCACCCCTGAACATGGCATCCAGGGTTTTCATCCTGTTACTCGTGTCACTTCCGGTCATTGCCTCCATGGCGCGAGCACGCCAACAGGAGCTTGCGTAGGTTGTCGCGGCTCACACGATCGCGCATCGAAGATAGGGTTATCTCTCACTCGTTGCCCCGCTGATGCTTGGTGCCTGGGGCTATGCAGTGAGGAGGCCAAGGCCATGTTCTACCATGGTTACGACAACTATATGGTTTGTCGCATGACGCGCCGGCCTTTTTGTCATGTGCACAAGCCCTATTTGTGTGCTTATGCGTACCACTCATGAACCATATGCTCGACCGATGCTGCACCTTCTGCGCTTCGCAACAGGAGCGAGCCTTTCCGGCTGATGAATTGATGCCACTGTCCTGCAAGGGCCGAGTTCGAGGTCGCGACAAGAGTCGTGGGGACATTGATGATGCACTGGGGCAGTACGTGTCCCTGACCGTTGTATCCAAGGCACCAATCCGTGCGCCTCATCGATGGCTTGATGACCAAGACCTTTTTTTTTTCTGACCATCCCCTCACATTCCTGCTCGTGGGTCTGCTATGCTGGTAGCTTTTCTCTAACTTTGATTGATACGCTGGACACGCTCGTCATCTTGAACAACATTACCGAGTTTAAACGGGCCATCGGACTGGTGGAGCAGCACGTGAAGTTTGATACTGATGTTGTTGTCTCCACCTTTGAAACCAACATTCGCGTCTTGGGTGGCCTCTTGGCCGCCCACGCCCTAATGCTCGACCTGCGCGGCCAACCTACCTACCGGGAATTACTGGCCAGCTACGATGATGGTCTCCTCAAGCTCGCCGTGGACTTGGGCGATCGTCTCATGAAGGCCTTTGACACACCCACCGGCATCCCCTACAGCAAAATCAATTTGCGCCATGGTGTGACACCTGAGGTCCGCAGCAGCGATGTCACCTGTACAGCCTGCGCTGGCACGCTGATCATGGAGTTTGCCGCACTCAGCCGTTTTGCCGGCAACCCCGTCTATGAACAAGCCGCTCGTCGCGCGCTTGAGGCCATTTGGATTCGCCGAGGCTCCCCCAGCGATCTTGTGGGTACCACCATCAACATCAGCAGTGGTGCATGGCATCGCACTGATGCCGGCGTCGGTGCCGGAGTCGACTCGTACTACGGTATGTCGTCGTCTCGGGCAACGTGCAGAGTCAAAATGTGCGCACACGCGCGCCTTTTGTTTCAATTCTAGATCTTCTCTTTTTTCCTCTTCTTTTTTTTTTTTTTTTCTTATTCCATGTCGTGGCTGGTTGATGTTTCGCTCTCGTTTGCCAGAGTATCTGTTCAAGGCTTTTATGCTACTGGGAGATCAAACGTACTTGCAGGTCTTCAACACTCACTACTCGGGAATTATGAAGCACCTGCGCCGTGGCCCCTTTCTGGTGGACACTCACATCCACAAACCCCATGTCCTGAGCAAAAAGTATATGGATGCTCTACAAACCTTTTTCCCCGGACTTCAGGTGGGTCAAGTATTGCGTGAGACTCGCGTGAGTTCCATCTCTCATGCTTGACTCGCCATGGCATGGATGCCGTTGTACTCAGGTGCTCAAGGGCGACTTATTGCCGGCCATCGAGACCCATCGGATGTACTTTGATGTCTTGCAACGACACAAGTTTTTTCCCGAAGCCTTCTTTTCTGACTTTCGAGTTAACTGGGGCAACTCCCCGCTGCGGCCAGAATTTGCAGAAAGCACGTATTTCCTGTATACAGCCACCGACGACCCCGCTTATTTGGAGGTGCGCGGATCGCAATCGGGCCCTGTTGAGCACCAGTGGAACCAGTGGTGGCTGCTCACAGCATCAGCCCCACGCAGCTGTTTTATGTCGACTTTTTGGGCGCTACCGGGTGGGCTTTCACCAAGGCGTTGTGTTTGTACAAATATGCCGCCTCAAGTAGATTGGTGAAGAGTTGATCTCGCGGCTCAACTCGCACGCCCGCGTGACCTGCGGGTGGGCCGCCATCAAGGATGTCCGCGTCCTCTCACATGAAGACAAGATGGATTCATTTGTACTCGCTGAGACCTTCAAGTCAGTCTATTTTTATTTTATTTTTTTTTTTGTTTTTTCTGGCTTTGTTTTGGCTTTTTTCAACCTCTTCTATCAACATGGATCCGGCTCATTTGATATTCTAATCTCACCGTGGCTGTATGTATCATATTCGCCAGATATCTGTATTTGTTGTTTGCCAATGAAGATGACGTGCCTATTCGGTTGGACGACTACGTTTTTACAACTGAAGCTCATTTGCTACCCACCAAACTAGCAAATGTGGACATGGAATATGAACCGTTTTTGGCCCACGAGCACCACTCGGTCGACGACCACGACCATTCATGTCGGAACCCAGCCAATGAGCGCAACCGCTTTTTCCGGATGCTGGGCCTTGAAAATGGACACCATCCCAAGGAATGTCGCCTGTACACGGCTCATATGCATGGGCCCCCACGATCTGGTCAGTTCTGAGACCTGTCGGGAAGACGCCTGGAACGACTTTGTCTTTCTGCTTTTATTCGATTGAGCATGCCTCATGTTTGTTTGGTTTTTGTTCTTATCTCGCTGCTATGCTCGTTTCTAAAAACTCTTCGCTCATGCCGGGTTTAGGTGGTCCGAACATTGTACGTGCGTCCGCACGGGGTACGGTTACCATCTCGCCGGCCGAGCTTGACCTGTCCAACGAGGAACACATTGCATACCTATACAGCGTGGGCATCACGGTGGAGAATCGCCAGCAGGAGATCCGCTTGGTGCACGACAACTCTGGGGATCGGGATCCGACAGGCGAAGGGTTTCGTTTCATTCGTGCGCTCATGCAGTACAATCAGCAGGTGGAGCAGGGGCTGCAGCGTGGCTGGGTGGGCGTTCGCTTTCGCGGTGCGCTTGTTGACGACTTGAGTGGGATGTTCAAGGCTGGACCAGCAGCATTTGGGCCACGCATTGGTGGCCGGGGCGTGACGGTTTACGGCCAGGCGGTGCTTGCCGAGCCCTTGACGGGTTGCACCAGCCTGCCGCCGGCCAAGGGCGCCATTTTGGTGGTGTCGCGAGGTGATTGCATGTTTGTGGATAAAGTGCGGCATGCCGAGGCTTCAGGTGCCGTCGGCGTCCTCGTCATTGACAATGCTCCCCAGGAGGACGACGAACCGAGCTTGTTCACCATGAGTGGTGATGATGGGCCCGACCCCGCCATTCCGGCGGCGTTTTTGTTTCGCAACCTGGGCCAACGGGTCGTGCAGCACCTGTACGACGGCCACGACTTTACCATCAGGCTTGATGCTTGGCATGATAAGACCTCTAGCTGATTTCTCGTTCGATAAATGTGTGCGTGTGTGCAAGTCGTCTCTTCACGTAATTGACACGACCTCTTTCTCTCTCTTGCACGACGAGATGAACTGCAACTTTTAAGACCTAAACGTGTGGAGGCCTACTGTCAGGTTCCACGGCCGGTCTTGGTTTGCGAGGACGCATTGTGAATGAGGTTTGAGTGATGTCCGTCGAGCGGACGGATCGACACACTTGCGCGCCTTGCAACTTGTTCACACGTACACCTGAATTTTTTGGGAATCGAATCACACAAAATATGCCACACTTGCTCAGATCGCTTCAAAGGAAGAAAAAGCGCTTACTTAAGCCTCGCTTTGGATCTTGTTGTTTTCTTTTCATAGGCACAGAGCCAGCTGTAGTCGATTAAGAGCCTCAAGTATCCAGCACGTAAGCACGGATTTGACGCTAACAGAGTGTGGCCGTAAAAAAAAAAAAAAAAAAAAAAAAAAAAAAAAAAAAAAAAAAAAAAAATTTTGAAGAAAATAAAGAGAGAGAATCAGAGAGAGAGAGAGAGAGAGAGAGAGAGAGAGAGAGAGAGAGAGAGAGAGAGAGAGAGAGAGAGAGAGAGAGAGAGAGAGAGAGAGAGAGAGAGAGAGAGAGAGAGAGAGAGAGAGAGAGAGAGAGAGAGAGATGATGAATTGGTTTGGTCGGTTTGAGAAAGAGAGAAGTAAAGAGCAAAGACACAAAGGAAAAGCACAACTACCACATGAGAGAGAGGAATGAATAAATTGGCTGAATTATCTCACAACGTGACGTTGAATTCAGAGAGAGAGAGAGTGTGTATGTGAGTGAGGCGGGCCTTGCCGCTGTGAGTGAGGTGACTTTGGTGGCGGGGTCGGGAGAGGGTCTTCGAGATGGCGGCGTCGGGCATGTTGGATGAGGTGGCTACGGCCTTGGAGGCCTTGGAGCGGGTCTTGCAGCATGGCAGTGATTTGGCAGGATATCGGTGGGTGTCATGCTAAAATGCAAAAGGCGTGTGGGCTCCGCTCGTGGCAGCTCGCAATCTGGGCTCCAGTGACTGGCGGCGACTCGAGCCTCATTCAAGTCGCTTGTGTGTGTGTGTGTGTGTGTGTGTGTGTTTGTGGCAGGGACTTTGAGGCCCCCCTTCTTCGACCCTGGTAGGATGTGCCAACGCACGCTGCAGGCTTGAACATGCATGACGCAGCTTTTGGCTCATTCACACACCACGTGCCTGCTCTCGATTCCTCAGCGTCCCCTACAACTTTGAGCAAGAAGAACGTGTTTTGCGCTTCACCATGCCATTGCCCGGCAATACCCCCATCACCCGCCTCAATGTATGCCGCACCTGTTTAGGCCCAGTCATCTCGAGCTGTGATATCATCGTGTCCTTTGACGATCATGAGCTTGCGTTTGCGTAGGTGACTGTGCGCGATGCTTCCCTGGAAGCAGGGGTCCACGGCCAGCCGAGCATTGTCAAGGTTCGATCAAGACCTGCGCAGCTCTTCAACTTTGTTTCTTGTCTTCTCGCGGTCCAACAGCTCTGATTGCAATGCGGCACTAGGGTTCTTTGTATCAGCCCGTGCTGGCGAAAGAGGCTAACTGGACAATCGCCTCGCGCAGTGCGTTGCCTCAGCTTGCCTTTGCTCCAGCTCGCCTTTGCTCAGGCCTTTCCATGGGTCCCAGTTCAGCTTGCTTCACGTTGCAAAGTGCTTTGTCATGGGGCGCCACGACCAGTAGCATCTCAACACCAATCTTCCTCGCTTGCACCTGCGTACTGATTTTCAGATGGCTGGAGCGCTTTGGTTGTCGAAGTGCCCTGCGCCGTGGCGTTACCCTGGGAATATCCAATCAAGGGTGGCATCCTTCCCAACGAGCTCTGTGATGGTCACTCCGCCTACCTGCGCGCGCTTAGTGCCTTCCAACATCATGACTATGCCCGGTATGTGCACCACAAAGTTCTTGAGAACTACACCCGTCCCCGCTTGATCCCAAGAGTAAGTCCAACTCATCCACTCGACATCCCATGTCTGCAGAGGCATTGAGTGGCTGCAGCAGGCTGCCACTCGTCATCACGGCCAGGCCCTTTTGCATCTGGCCAAGCTGTACGAGTCTGGTCACAGGTATGTCTTCTTGCGTCGTGTCTGCTCTTATCTTGACCACGACACGTTTACTTCTTCTTCTTCTTCTTCTTCTTCTTCTTCTTCTTCTTCTTCTTCTTCTTCTTCTTCTTCTTCTTCTTCTTCTTCTTCTTTTTTTCACTCATGCACCTTTTCAACGGTGTCACTAGCCAATGTGGCGTTGCAAAAAGCAGCACACGCTTTGTGCAAACTCTGATCCAGGCCGCGCAATGCCTAGAGGAAGAAGCTTTGATCATGCTTGGTTAGCGCTGTCCATCCTGCCACGTTTCACCCCAAAGCGGTTGATTTCTCAAGCCCTGTGTTCCATCATCCCGTCACGTGTTGCACCAATGTTCCTAGGCCAGCAATGTCAGCAGTTGGACACGAAAGAGGGTCTCGACTTGGCGAGTCGTTGTTATGAGCTGGTATTGAACCCAAATGTCGTGCGCTGGGCCGCACATTGCCAGCTACGCCGCGCTGAGTACGTCCTGAAGGCTGATGTCAGATACTTTGGGTAGCGGCCAAAGCACCCCAAACAGCTCTCATTTATGATTGAGCATTGTGATGGGATATAGCCGTCAATTTTCCCCAAGCTTTGCCATTGCCGCCTATTTGCGCGCCTCAAACTTATTGAACGAATCAATCCCCGAGGAAGCTGATGTAGCAGCTCAGAGGCAGCGGGCCGTCAAGCTACTCAAGTACGATGTCATCCCCGTTGACCTTTTCTCTTGTAGCACAAGTTTACCGGTCGTGGCTTCAGCCGGCTCACAATAATGGCCAACGTAGTGTCAGCGGAGCACAAGGCTGCGCCCCTGCCTATGCCATGCTCGGCCGCCTCTATGCCGAGGGTGAGGTACTTCCCATGGGTAGGTCCACAATGTAACGGTCCCGATGGTTCGTGGCTCTCCTCTGCTTTCTGCTCACTGCAGGCCTTACTCGTTGACCCTGTGCTTGGCGATGTTTCATTTGCTCAATCAAGACGTTGCATTGGCCGAGCGTTACAATCGATCGGCTCGTGCTCTGGACCCGACCATGGCGGTGGCCTCCAACGCTGGCAGTGCTCATGGCGTAAGCGCCGCGTTTGATCCACCAATTGCCGTGGGCGCAAAACCATAGCGTCAACTTCTTCATTGACTCACCATATCCACAATGCGCTGCTCGTTGGTTTGCTTGACTTTTTTTTTCCCTTTTTTTCGCCTTGTTTGTTTCCAGAGCGCCACCCCGCTGAGCAGGAGCGCCGTTACTTCCGCGCGCGCAACGCCAAGCCATGATGCTGCGGCACGCAACTCACCAGCTGTTCGACCTTCGCATGCCCGGCGACCCGAGACGGCCGAGACCGCGCGGCAATTAGAGTTTACCCCCGAAGACACAGCCGAGGCAATGGATGAGGACCTGCTGGATGCTGTCAAACAGCGGGCCATGATGATTCTTGGGGTGGGCGCCGCTGTCTTTGGCCTCGTCGTCATGCACATGCGACGCTAAACGCGGACAAGAATGAGCCTCGTCCCTGTGAGCTCCAGGTTGACAGGCATGCTCTTCTTCCGCTGCAAGGGAGTCTGGTTGTGTGAAGCGTTTCCAACTTGTTTCTTCCGCTTCTTTTTCTTGGCGGGTATCTGCATCATTGTCAAAAGCCGATCGATTGTTCTCTTTGACCCAGAAAACGCTTTTAACCACCACATCACACAGGAGAGGCAACAGGCCAATGCAAAGAACAAAAAAGGCTACAACGTGGGAGGCACAACAGGGCTACCGGTAAAGGGGAGAATTAGAAAACACGCTGCAAATTCAAGGAGAAAAGGCCGCGATCTTAATCCAAAAGGGACTGGTAGCGCTTGATGCCAGTGCTCATAACCTCGAGCTGGGTCTGGAGGTCGGCTTTCTTCTTCGAGTTGGCATCGCGCACCTCCTGGGGCACAGCGGTCAAGTAGGTTTCCTGCTGCTCATCGCTCTCAATCTTGCTCAAGCGCTCCTGCACGCCAGCCAACTTCTTCTCCAGCTTTTCAATCTCCTGTTGGGGGTCCACCAAGCCCTGTGGACACCGGACGCAGAGCAGAGTATGAATTTGATGCGCACAACTGACGAAAGATGGTTATAATCATCCTCCAAGGGCAAGGATTGAGACGTTGTGGCCCCGCATGGGAGTGACAGGCGCACCTTGACCATGAGGTGCACTTCAACATCTGAGGTGGCCTCCAAAGCGCAGCCCTTGGGCACAGGGTCTCCAACAGGCAAAACACGCGCTGTAGCACCAATCAACGTGGACATCTGTAATACACATGCATGGTGAGAGCTGACCCGAAATGAAGTAGAACAGCTCAGTGTGTAGCAGCAGCAAAGGTGAAAGATGGGTCAGTGCACGCACAAGTTCCTCAAACTGCTGCAGAGTGTGGTAGGCGTCCTCATCAATGGGGCGCAGGTAGACATCGGGCTTGGCACTAGCAGGCAGATATTCTTGCTTGATGTGACGGGAGGCCTGCGAGGGCGCATGTACCACGGTGGTAAGAACAAAACAAAGGAAAACAAACAAAAACTTCAAAACTATCGAAAAATAGAAAAAAAAAAAAAAAAAAGAAAAAAAAAAAAAAGAAAAGACGAGTGAGCGTGTACCTTGACGGTCTCAAGCACAAAGTTGATGAGCGCTTCAATCTTGGGGTTGCTGAAGCTGCCCGTCACGGGGAAAGCGGCCACAGTGATGGATGGCGGGTCAACCTGTGGCAAAAGCAAGAGGCACAGCGTCAGGTATTGATCCACCCGCGGTACCATCCATGGTTTGCACTATCCGAGGCGAGTGTGTAAGCCGATACCAGGTCATTTTCGCCACGGCAAGTGGGGAGACGCTGCCAGAGCTCCTCCGTTAGGAATGGCATGAAGGGCGACAGCAAGCTAGACCAAGCAATCAGAACCAAAACCAAGAAAAGCAACTCGTCAGCATCCTGTAGGAACCACAGGGCATTGGAGGCTAGCAACGATGGATCGTCACCACGTACCGTAGACCATTATCCACAACCTTGAAAAGAACGTTGCGCACGGCTGTCTGACGCTTTGCGTCCGAGCCACGGAAGACGGGCTACAGAATGGATGCAAGTTGTGTGTGTGAGATTGAGGCAATTTTATTTCAAAAATGGAAGAGCCTTGCTGCGGCAGCCGATGCAGCTCGTCTACCTTGATCATTTCCAGGTAGTTGTTGGCAAAGTCGTACAGCCAGAGGTTGTATACGGCAGTGGTGGCCCCCGGGAAATCGTATGCCGACAGACACTGCAACGTTCAAAGAGGGGTACGGTCACAGCTGATGAGAGGCGGTAGCTGAATGGTTGTGACCTTGGCTCGAAAAAGGGAAAGTCATTCGCACCTGGTTGGTGGTGGTGATGGCGGCGCTGAGGCGGCTCAACATCCAGAGGTCCTCGGTCGACTCGTTCTTGGTCTTGGCATCCCAGGCCAAAGGCTTGTAGTCATCGCCAAGCTGCATCATGACCAGCTTCACGGCGTTGTAGATCTGTCGGTAGGACAAGACAAGATGAGCAGCCGCGCATGAGCCGCAGCACTCGCGTGACAAACGCATGATGTCTAATCCATGACACACCTTGTTGCAAAAGTTGCGGTAGCCCACGATGCGCTGCACATCCAAGTTGATGTCACGGCCCGGTTGGGCAAACGCACACAGTGCAAAGCGAAGCGCATCGACACCACATTCCTAAAAAGACCGAAAGATCACAACAACGGGGCGATGTGAGATGGAGCTCTTCACAGAGGTGTCAAGTAGCTTTGCAGCTGCGACCCTGCAACAACTTTCACACACAACCCACCTTGATGCCGTCGGGGAACTGGCGCTTCTGACCCTCCTTGGCACTACATGGCAGAAACAAGCAGACAATATGAGGCAGTTTCAAGGTGAGTCAGCCAACGCTTGCGCGTCAACCTACCGCTCAAGCTCGGCGGGGTCAAGGTTGCCCTCAAGAAGCCGCTCATGCAGGTCCTGTTTGATACAACACGAGTGAGTGGGCTTTCTGGCGATATCAGTCAGAACAGCTTTGAAGACAAAGTGGCAATTGAAGGACGTCGATGTTCGTACCTCGAGTGTAATGCCATTGCGAACATCCATTGGATCAACGACATTGCCCAACGACTTGGACATTTTGCGACCCTCCTTGTCGCGGATAATGGTGTGCAGATAGACCTCCTTGAATGGCAACTGGCCGGTCAAGTAGGTGCACATCATGACCATACGCGCGACCCAGAAGAAGAGAATGTCGTAGCCTAAGAGACACAAAGACGTCAGGTGCAAGATCTGAGGTCCCACAGCAGGCTTCCCAAATTCGAATGACGCACCAGTCTCCAAAAGATGACCCGGGTAGAATTTTTGGAACTCGGCGTGGTCAACATCGGGCCAGTTGAAGATGGAAATGGGAAAAATGCCCGAGCTGAACCTGGGAATGGTAAAAAATACAAAGACGTGAAGGTGTGAATAGCTGAAGGAACACAACCAAAAAAAGAGGAAAAAGAGAAAAAGATGGAACAGGAAGAAGGGCAAGAGCCGATTCAACGAGCCCCGCGGGATGATAAATCGGCAGAATGCAACGTACCAAGTATCAAGGACATCCTCATCCTGGCGCAGCTTCACATCAGCCTCGGGAACACCAAAGCGTGCAGCAGCCTTTTTGCGAGCATCTTCTTCTGAGTGCGCCGAGACCCAGAACTCGTTGTTGGTACCATCAGCCTGCAACGCAACACATCAAATCGATGAGTCGAGACGGCGGAAATGAGATGGGCAACTGCAACCATGACCAAGACTGCCAGATGGTTTCCGGTGGGGTTGACTTGATCAGAATATCGACGCACCTCGGGAATGCCCTTGCCAGACACAAAGTACGCTGGGATGCGGTGGCCCCACCACAGCTGACGCGAAATGCACCAATCCCTGATCAAATGATATCCAGGCAGCATAAAAAAGATGATTTGGCAGATATAAAAAGGAGCTGCAGGCGTGACTGAAGGAGTCGGGCGTCGCAGGACTAACCGCGAGTTTTCAAGCCAGTTGAACCAGGTTTTCTCATGGGCGTCCGGGATCAGCTTGAGCTCGCCATTGCGAACGGCAGCCACGCTGCGCTCGGCCATGGTCTTGCAATCGCAGAACCACTGCGGCACAAGCAGGGGCTCAATAATGTCGCCTGAGCGACTGCACTTGGGCACGACCATGGGGTTTTCTGCCACGCCACGGTAGAGACCCATCTCTTCGAGGCGCTGCAGCACCACCTTGCGTGCGTCAAATCGCTTCATGCCCTACATGGTGCGAGGGTCATGTCGCCACAAGGGTCAGCAGGGAGCAAAAATAAAACTAAGATGGGGTGAAACATGGCAGTAGACGTACGGAAAAGTCACCGCAGCCCTCAGCAATGAGGCCATCCTTGGTCACAACAGTGATCATGGGCAGCGAGTGACGTTGCCCACACTACCGAGGTGGGGAGAGGCACAAAATTGGGGGCAGATGGACGATGAGCGGTGTGACTTCCATACAAGCGGGGTGAAGTGCGAGTTGGATCGGGCACCCGAAGCTTGGGAGCTTGAGTAGCAAAAAAAGGACCTACCTCGTAATCGTTCTGGTCGTGGGCAGGTGTGATCTTGACGGCACCGGTTCCGAAAGCCATGTCCACAAAGTCGTCGGCAACAATGACCATCTCGCGGTCGGCAATAAAAGGGTGCACAAGCTTCTTGCCAACGAGATGCTTGTAGCGGTCATCACTGGGGTGCACAGCCACGGCCACATCACCAAGCATGGTCTCGGGACGCGTGGTGGCAACCACCAACTCGCCGTCGCCATCGGCCAAACGGTAGGCAAAGGACGTGATAACACCAAACTCAACCTGATTACAGAACAGATGTTGAATCAGATAGATATGGAACCAAGGGTATAGGGCCTGCATTGGTCTCCCGTGGAGGATGAACGCAAACGAACCTTCTCGTCATAGCCAGGAACGGAGAGCATCTTGCGACCCGTGAGCTCAATCTTGTCCACCTCGATATCCGAGATGGCCGAGTTGAGGCGGCAGCTCCAGTTGACCAGACGCACGCTGCGGAAGATGAGGCCATCCTCATGCATACGCACAAAGGCCTCGGTCACGGCACTGCATAGCCACAGGTGTAGGTGAGGGTAATTGGTTGATAGCACCCAAAAAACAAACAAACAACAAAGCCAAAAGCAAAAGCAAAAACAAGCAAACCAATCAAAGTATGCACCGATTAAAAACAACCTTTCGAGGCATCAAGTCATTTTTAAAGCAAGCAACAGAAACGAACAAACTTACCGGCAGCAGCGATCCGACATGGTGAAAGCCTCACGATCCCAGTCGCAGGAGGCGCCCAGGCCCTTGAGCTGCTCGTAGATGCGGTTGCCCTTGCTAAAACAAGAGATGCAAAGCGACGGTTGGATAGCTGACGCAGTGCAGGTGGCAGCGGTACGATGTCACGTTTCCACTTACGCCTCCTTCCACTCCCAGACACGCTCGAGGAACTTTTCACGGCCAAGGTCATGGCTGTTGAAGGCAAAGCGCGGTGAGCCAGCGTGGAGTTTGGGACACGAATCAGTGGCGAAAACACGGGCAAAACATGAGGTATGTTCGCGAGAGACATTGCCACATACCGAGTCTTCTTCTCTTCGCGCCAGATGCGCTTCTCAACAACGCTCTGAGTGGCAATACCGGCGTGGTCACATCCCGGGTTCCAGAGCGTGGTCTTGCCCAGTTGGCGGTTCCAGCGCACAACAGTGTCCTCGATGGCATTGGTCAGGGCATGGCCCAGATGAAGAGTGCCTAAGTATGTGAGTCGGAGTCAGCCGAAACCAATATCGGAGGAATCAAATTCAGCGAAAGAGCAGGGAGAGAGCCGCACTAACCCGTGACGTTGGGGGGAGGAATCACGAGAGTAAAGTTCTTGTCTTCGCTGTTGCAGCGGAGCTTTGAGAAATCCTGGTAGAGTGCCGCAAGTTTACACAGGTGAGTGACGGTAAGCTGCGTCCATGCCATACTACGATGCGCAAGCAAAACGCAGAGCCACTCAGTTGAGAGCTCTGACCTACCTCGTTGTACTCGGGCTTCAAGAAGCCAGACTGTTGCCACCAAGAGTACCACGAGTCTTCCACAATGGTGGGCTGGTAGCTCTTGGGCATGCCCTAAAGGTTTTGCACCCCCAAAGTTGTAAAGTTGTGAGAGCCATGCAGCGACGACCCGGGTGGGGCGTGCCAACATGTACGAACCGCCGCCACATCCTTTTTCTGGCCGCTGGGGGGAGCCTTGTACACGAAATTGTCGCCCTTGCTAGCTTCAGTCTCCTTGGCTTGACGCTGCTCGCGCTTCTCCTGCACAAAGAGGCCGAGTCGTCAAACGAAAGAATGAGAAAAAAAAAGGTGTGTTGTTCAAGGCGTAGCACAGGCGAGACGAGACGCAAAGTACCTCGCGCTTGGATTTGCCTTTTTTGTCGTCCGCCTTTTGCTTTTGCTGCTTGGCCAGGAACTTTTCGAGTTTGGCAAGCTGAGGGGCACAGCATGGTCAGCGTGGCGCCGAGACCATTCATTGCCAGCACTCAGGATGACGCTATAGTCGGGCATACCTTCTTCAACTCCTTGGCAGAGAGCTCCTGCTTGCCGTAGAGAGTTTCCTGGCGAGCCTTGATGACTTCAGCCGTCTCCGGGGTCTGAATGCCAAAGATGGTCAAGGCCTGAAACTTGCCCGTCGGGGCAGCACTGGGTTGAGCCATGTTCTGTGGTCGCAGGTCTGTCAACTCTCCAAGTCTACACTTGATTCACAGTTCCAGATCATAGCCAACCAAGCAAACCGATGGGAGACGAGCCATGTGAGTCCATAAACACAAGCACCATGTCAACCCGACCAAGCCATCAACCCCATTAGACAGGCCAGTCAGGGAAGAGGAGCTGCCACTGCCATTTCTCAGCCACAGAGAGATGGAGCACGAGAAGAGAGACACACATGCGCGCGCTTTCTTCGTCACACGTGCAAACACAGAGAGGAGAGAGAGAGAGAGAGAGAGAGAGAGAGAGAGAGAGAGAGGGAGAGAGAGAGACGAACACTCAAGAGTACAATGACCAAATTCACACTTTGGTGGTGAGATAATTTGTTCGTAACGTGTGTTGTGGTTGGGTATTTTGTTTGGCTTGACACACACACGGACGGGTCGAGCGGCGACAGGATGGCAGAGGCGTCAGAAGCCAACATGCAGGATCTGATTGAGGTCCTGCAGCGCGTGGTACGTTGGCTCGTGGGGTCGCGCCTGGCTGCTTGGAGGAGGAAAAATGCAAGCCCCAGAGGGACGCGCTGCCAGCGCGCACGTTCCGCCCTGTCTCATGTGTCTTTATATTCTTGGTCTTGCACAGCTCGAGGATAACAAGGACCGCAAGGCAAGAAAGAGGAGCATTGCACCGTGATTACGAGCAACTGCCTGTGGTCTTGGAGAGATCGTCGGCCAGTGCCTCGAGTGTGTCATGCTGGGTCTTATCATTGGTGCTCTGCGGGGTCGCTTCTTGTAGGTTCGTGTGCGTAACGTTCACATTGATGGCGTCAAGCGAACAGCCCCCTGGCTGCTGCAGCAGCAGGCAGCACCCTTGCTTGAATGCACTACGCTGGGAGACGTGCTGGAGGAGGCCGACTACACTTGCAGCAAGATCAAGTCCCTCAACGTTTTTCCTAACGTATCTGCCGAAGTAGACCGTAGCTGTGAGTCTTGCAGCCCATTCCCCTCGGCGCTGGATGTCTCACCTCATGCTCATGACCGCCGCTTTCTATGCTCGAAAAAAAAACTTGGTGCCAACCAACAGTGGCACAACCACTTCAAGACGATGGGGTGGAGGAACTTGACATTAATTTTCAGATTCGGGAGAGTCGACTCGTGTCTGGTGGTACTGGCGTCACCGTTGGCAACAACCAAGGAACTGCCACTTTTAGTGTCAGTATTGCGCCCACGGCTCGTCGGCTGCGTAAGGGGGTAACTGGCACAGTGCCATCGAGGTTTAGAGGTGTTGCAGCTCATGAATACAATTGCCTGGGTGGATAGATCAATCTGAACAATCTGGCCGGAGTTGCAGATCAGGTCTCCTTTACTACCTCACGCACCTCGAAGGGTCAAGTGGGCTACCAAGCCGCTTATAGTCTCCCGTTCTTGGGCAGCCCATTCTCGCCACTTCGCTTTGAGCTTGCCAAGGTGCGCTGTCTTCCTCAAGGTGTTACAACAAGAACTGGGGAACTGGGTCAACTGCACTTGGAGGGAAAAAAGGAGAAAGCAAGCACTCCAAATCTCATTCAGCTTCATGTTTGGGCGTAGACACAATTGGAGCTGCAGCAGCACGGCGCTTTTCTGGACAATCGCTATGCCGCCGTTGAGCTACAGCAGAGGTACTTTGGGGTCGACCATAGCTTCCGACTCGAGTCTTCATGGCGCCATATCCACCGCGCTGCCGCAGATGTACGTGCGGCTTCGTCCTTCGACATCCATCCAGTCATTTATGAGATCTCCTTCTGGAGTCGCTCCTCTTCTATTTTGGCCGTGTTGCTGATGGTGGACTTTGGGCTTTAGGTGCCGTTTCTGCTGCGCGAACAAATGGGCCACACCTTGAAAAACGCTGCCAGCTACACGCTCAAGATGCAGGCCTTTCCCGAGTCGGATCAATTCGACTTGGCCATGCGCATCTCGGCCGAGGCCGCAGGCGGACAACTGGGCGGCGACATTCATCATTCGAAAATCGAAGCCTCTGCCGATGCTCAGAGCATCTGGGACCTGTGCACATTGCGCCTGAGTGGGCGCCTGGGCTATGGCACCGCGCAGCCCCTGCCCCTGGCCGTGAAGCAAGCCACCCCACATCGGCCACTGCACTTGGCGGATCGCTACTGCCTGGGCGGCGTGCTGAACGTTCGTGGCTTCAAGCACATGCGAATTGGTGATGCCGCCGGTACATATGCGCAGGGCGGGTCGGCTTACTGGGCTGCCGCGGCACATGCATATTTCCCCTTTCCCAAGCTGCAAGACACCCTCGGCTCATCCGTGCAGCTGCATGCCTTTGCTAATGCTGGTTCAGTGGCCTCGCAAGCCAAGCAGTTGTGGCATCCAGGACGGATTGCGGCCAGCTATGGTCTCGGCATTTTTGCACAGGCCCAGCTGTGTCAGCTGGAGCTCAACTATACCTTGCCCTTCCAGACGGGCGGGGCGCCCACTCAACCGGGCTTTTCCATTGCCGTCGGCTGGGAGTTTTTGTAGACATTACGGCAGGAAACGGGCGACATGTATTTGCTTCTCCGTGAATCGCCAATTGTTCACTGGCCAGAATAGAGTAAAAAAAAAAAGCGAGGAAAAAAAACAACAAAAAGTTCAAGTGTCGCGGACGTGTCATGATATGAGATCTTCAATTGTTGTTGGGAACACGAGCGCGAAAGTCGCTCATTTCCCTCACTCAGCTTTCAAGACAAGACATTGCAAATGCAATACAAGAATACGACGAGGTCGTCAGTGGGCCAAAGCGCCTTGGGACAGAAACGCCACCAACACTGAAACACCAACACAAGGCGGGCCAGGAAAAGGGACGAAGCAACGGCCATAAACACGAGCAGGCAAACATAGATCGAGTCATCCTACATCAAATCAGTACACCAACATCTCTCGGGTGTGCCAGAGAACAAGCAAAAAATGAAGGGCATCGAAATACATATAAGACTCGCCGCAAGCGGCGAAGCACACAGGCAAACAGATATGAACGGTCAACACATCTACGAGCTAGAACCGAAAAAGAAAAAAAGACGAATAGAGACAAGAGAAAAACTCATCGCAGATACACGAGGGCAGTTTAGCGACGGAAGCCACCGCCACCTTGGTAGCGACCACCACCACCACCACCGTTGTGTCGCGAGCCACCACGACCACCGCCGCGGCCATACGAGTTGCCACCACGGCCACGGCCGCCATAGCCACCGCCACGACCACCGTAGCTGCGACCGCCATAGCCGCCGCCACCATAGCCACCGCCGCCGTACGAGTTCTCCTGAGCCTCGAGCTCTGGAAGCTCCTTGCACACCTCCATGGTGACAGTGGGGCTATCGTTCCAAGCAGCCATGATGCCATCCACCATCTTGGTAGGCCTATAACAATGAGAAGAAGGAAAAAGATGAGTATATCAGAGATTGCATGCGCACCAGTCAGCCAACGGTCATGGCACACGCCAATCAATGAATATTAATCTAGCCTTTGTATTAATCCGGCACATCAACCATTTCATGATGTGGAGGTCAGAGCAAAGGCATGGCCCACCAGGTGGCCACAAACACCATTGGAAGACAATTCACAATAGAAAGAGAACGACGACACAACTTGGCCACACGGGCATGCGCGCAACGACTTACACATCAAAGACGGAGCCTTGCTTGTCCTTTTGCAGACGCAGACCCTTGATTTCGTTGTGGGCGTCCTCGGGGAAGTACTTGCGAATCAGGGTCCAGACAAAGCCCTTGGTGCGAATTTCAGTCTCAACCTTGATGTGGAGGGTGGTGTAATCAGCCATGCTGGAAAGCAACGAGCGTGTCTTGATTTCCGTGGCACCGCTGATGTGGGCCAGAGCTGCGGCCAGGGCAGCTTCGGCACCACGCTCCTCAATGAGCTCACGAGCGGCATCCTTGAAGTGGGCGAGGACAGAGTCGTTGATGGCCTCGAGGGAGCGGAAGGCATCACGAGCCGAAGCCTTGATGACATCCTCAGGTTGCGGGGCACCAATGCGACGGAAGGAAATACCGGCGCGGCGTTCCACGTAACGCATGGCGTCCTCTTGGTTGGGCTTGTAGAAGCAGATGCAGGTACCCGTGCGGCCGGCACGACCGGTACGGCCTGAGCGATGGATGTACGACTCGACATCCTTGGGAGGCTCGCACTGCACGACAAGGTCGACCTCGGGAATATCGAGACCACGCGCCGCCACGTCGGTGGCAACGAGGCAGCGAACCTTGCCGTCGCGGAAAGCCTGGAGGGACATTTCACGCTGCTTCTGAGGGATATCACCATGAAGAACCTGGACTTCTTGACGCAGGTCTGTCTCGAGGGCCAGCTCGTTGGCATCCTTCTTGGTTTGGGTAAAGATGATGGTGCGACCGTGGGCGCCCGAGTACATTTGCACGACATCGGCAATCACGGCACGACGCTCAGTCCAGGGGCACTTGATGGCCAAATGATCCACACCCTTGGAAGTACGGTTGCGAGAGCTGCCCACCGTGTCGACGGTGACGTGATTGGGCATGTAGTTCTTCACGGTGGAGAGGATGAAATCGGGCATGGTGGCACTGAAAAGGATCATTTGGGGCTTGCCGCCAGACTGGGCAATGGTCATCTTCTGAATCTCGTCAATGGCCTCGACAAAGCCCTGCTCCAGCATGCGATCAGCCTCATCGAGAATGAGGTACTTGATGTCGGTGAGCTTCAGGGTGCCCTTGTCAAGATGGTCTTTCAGACGACCGGGGGTGCCAATGATGACGTCGAGGCCACGGCGAATAGCGCTCTCTTGGGGCATGTAGGGGGCGCCACCATAGACACAGGTGGAGGCGAGGCTGGGACCAATGTCGGCAAACTCCTTGCCAACCTGATGAGCCAACTCACGGGTAGGAGCCATGCAGAGGGCACGGGGGGCACGGCCACGGCCGTTGCGGCCTTCCTTGAGGAGCAGCTCAATGATGGGCAAAGCAAACGAGAGGGTCTTGCCCTCACCCGTGCGGGCCTTGCCCAAGATATCCTTGCCCTCGAGGATGGGGGTAAAGGTTCGGGACTGAATCTCAAAGAGTTTCGTGTAGCCCTTGGTCAGCATGTGCTTACGAGTTTCAGCGGAAATTTCAAAGTTGTCGAGGTGACCGGCGTCCTTGACCTTCTTAGCGGGTTGCTCAGCATCGCTGGCAGCACCGGCAGACTCGGCCGAGCCCACAGAGATCTTGTCTTCAGCAGAGTCAGCCGAGCGCTTAGCGCTAGTCTTGACGGGGGTCTCGCTTTCGTCATCGGACTTGTCCTTTTTGTTTTTCTTCTCCTTCTTTTCTTTCTTTTCCTTCTTCTCCTTCTTGGCGGCCTTCTTGGCCTTGAGGTCGTCAAGGAGCTCCTCCTCGTTGACGTGCTCGTGCACGTGTTCCGTATCAGCAGGCATGGCGGCGGCTGTGGGGTCAACGGGGGAAGGAGGAAAAAATAAAAATTGTGAGGATAATGCTTGATGCAGGCGGGGGAAAAGTGCCTACGTGCTTTTGTTTCCCAGCTCATCGGCCCGTGAGGCCAGGCACAAAGCAACGGGTTTGAAAGGGCGAGGTCGTACCGAAAAGAGGTTTTGTCGAGGTGGCCGCGAAACGGCTTTGGGCAAATTGAAGCAAGGGAGAGCGACCGGTGCGTGACACCAGGGCGAGGCGAGGCCACGAGGTGCTCGACGACAACCGCGTGGGGGTTACAAAAGCAGATTTTGGAGCGCCCACGAGCAGCGACAGTCGGCGGCGTCCAAAATGAGAGACGAGCGACATGGGGCCTGCGAAACACCGTTTGTGACGCGGTGTCAACCAACACAGACACAGACAGACACGTCCTCGGTTAGGCAGCGCAGATGAACTCCCACACTTGTATCCCCCCAAAGCCAACCCAACGCAACGACGTGCAAGCAGAAAATGGTCGTTCATAAACAAAGCGTGCAGCCAGCATTGAGCCCGGAGGGCCGACACCCCTGCTGCAATCACATCAACTTACGATGCAAAAAAATGGCAACACCACCACCATGTGCTCGTTGTTGTGTGTGAGTAGTGTGTAGTGTGTAGTGTGTAGTGTGCGCGCGTCACACGTGTGTGTGTGTTAATGTGTGTGTGTGCGAATGTGTGTGTGTGTGTGTGTGTGTGTGTGTGTGTGTGCGTGCTAATGCGCGAAAGCGTCAACAAGCGTTTGACATTCCACACGTGGGTGTGGGTTGATTGACAGCATGGTTCTCTGAAAGTAAAACTCTTGAAATAAGAGAGTGCATTTGGGAAATTCAATAGTTTACTTTAAGGAAAGCATAATATTGTAAACTTTACACCTTGGATGTATATACACGCAGTCCGTATGCTGCTCGGGTCATCATTCGTTGAGCTGTCAAGTTCATATGGCAGCCAGTGCTCGGGGGATGGTCTGGTTTTTCCGGCAGAAGATAGCGGGCGAAGAACGATCGCAATGGCTGGTGGCGCTCAAGCCTGTGCAGTCAAGTTTGTCGATCAGGGCCGGCTCTGGATGGCTGCCAACAAAACATTGGACTTCCAACACGCCGTGTCCCATCTTGCCGCTTAAAACCTAACCCAAACCCCACAGCTGATACATGCTGCTGGAGGTGCTGAGTACGCTTCAAGCACGCTGAATCTCGCTCATGCACTCAGGCACGAGTCTATGCCTTTGTTCAAAGGCATCGTCCTGTACCTCGGCGCGCACCTCCGGGCTGCCCTTTGCGGCGATCGCTCGGGCCTTCTTCAACAGGTTGAGGATGGTGTGGCGCGTCACATTTTTTCACAATCAGGGTTTGTGAAGTTGTTGTTAGTAGTTTTTGCAGCACTAGTAAGGGAGTCAAAGTACCTTTATGAAGAGTGGTGAGTAGTTATCGTCTGTTTCTTTTCGCTTTTTGATGTCGATGTGTATTTTCGATCATTTTTTTTGAGCGTCAGTGACTCTGTGTGTGTGCGTGTGCGTGTGACTCTGCGGCGATCTTGTTGCGTGTGTCGCCGATCTGGGGATCGTCGCTTTTTTCATGCTTGTTCAGTGGCTCTGATCGCTGTAAAGGGCGATACGGGAGAGGGCGGTGCGCATTTTCTGGGGGTTGTAAACTCATAACTTGCCGCGGATGCTCGTTCTGTTGATTGAGACAGAAACCGCCCCCGCCCCCCCCTTTTTTTCTCTTCGGATCTACCAAGCAAGATGGCATTCGCTGCGATGATGAAGATGCATGCCGATGGTGTGCGCCGCGCCGAGTCGGTTGACATGAACGACCTGGTGCGTAGCCAGGCAGCGGCATCTGAAGCAAAAACAACAACAACTACAACAACAACACGTCCCTTTCCCATGAACGAGCGTTCTGGTGCTCACCATGGCTGCATTCTTTTTCTCTCGTAGATTCAGCAGGGCGCGCAGGTCCGCTTCCAGTCTTTGATGACCCACCGCAATCTGCGCATCACCAAGGACGGTGATCGCATCAATTGTCACGGTACGGCGAGTCAATCAGTCATCAGTCAGCACTTGTCCCCGGCCTGTGCCACTGCGCAAGAGTGCCCCGCCCCCTTTGGACTCATGATCATTTGCTTTTTGAAGGTGGTGATGGCAAGCTAACTCTCTTTACACTCGGTGGTAACGAGCAGCACGAGGCTACCGTGCAGGCCACGCTTGTCAGCCAGAAGTTTATTGGCCTCCCCGAGGGTAAGCCATCCTGCCTAGCCAACCATCTTGAGCTTGGGACATGGACCACGTTCATTTCGTGCATGCTTCTCATATGGTCCTCAGACGGTGGTATGCCTGCCCCAACTGACGAGGCTCAGCCACTGTTTCTGGACGCCGATGACAGCGATGGTACCGTGTACTTGGTCAACTCAAGCAAAACCCACTGCCTGGCTACCGCCAAGCAAGGCCCGGCCTACATGGTCCCACGCGTGCGTCCATCCTTTGCTATTCCCCCCCTACCCTTTTTTTTTTCCATTTGTCCTGCTGTCGAAATCTGCGCAAGTCCACGGTGTTGCACAACGCTTGCATGCCTCACACTTTGCTGTTTGCAGGAGAAGAGCCCGGCGACACAGTTTCGCTTGATGGTGAACGGCCAGGCCATGAACATGACGGACGAGCCTGAAGAGGAGCCCGAAGAGGAAGAAGATGCTGACTTTGATTACGAGGATCTCGAGGAACGCTTCGGCCCAATCTTGGACATGCCTCGCCCTGAGCGCCGGTACGCTTCTCCCGCCCTTGAGTTTCAAGCTCAAGAATCAATTAAACACCACACACACACACACACACACACACACACACACACACACACACACACACACACACACACACACACACACACACACACACACACACACACACACACACACACACACACACACACACACACACACACACACACACACACACACACACACACACACACACACATAAACTCGCCTCATACCCATGTTGTCGATAGTGCCGCCGTGCGTGCGTTGGATTTGCATGAGCGCATCATCTTCCGCCAATTCAAGATGATGCGCACGCGCCAAAAGATGGCGCGCAAGCGTGCCCGCTTCCACAAACGCGTGGAAATGGGCCATCAAGCCAATGAAGCGGCTTTGCAGGCCAAACTTGCCGCCTTGGAAGCCCGTTGCAGCCGTTTAGAGCAATTGGCCAACGAGTCTGCCTCGGAATCTGAATCCAGCGAATCTAGTGGTATGCCTCTCGAATATCCTGTGCCGACTTGCCGGTCGATGATGCCTGCCCTCACGTTGGTCACTTGGGCTTGACAGAGGACGAGGTGGACGACGAAGAGTACGAGGCTCAGCTCGAGGCCCAAGCCCGTTTGACTGCCGAGGCTGCCGAAGCAGCTCGTCTCGAGGCTGAGGCCGCCGAAGCGGCTCGACAGGAGGTGTGTTTGTAGCACGCGAGCATGCCATTTGCCTCGATGACGCCCACGCCTTTGACACATATCCATGTGCTGACTCGGTGCCCGAAACACGCGCACAGGCTATCCGCCAAGCCGAAGCTGAGGCCGAGGCCATGGCTGCCAACCAACGTCGTCTGCAAGAGGTGGGCCCGCTTGCGCTGCGCACTCTTGTCTTGCATGATTCTTGTCTGGAAGAAATGAGCCTTCCACGAACCGTGAATCGGAATGACATATTGTGATGTCTGTGATACTACAATGAAAACCGTGCGCAGGAGGCCGAGGCCGCACTCGCAGCTGCACTGGAGGCCGAAGCCGAAGAAGAAGAGCCCGTCGAGGTTCCTGAGGAAGAAAAGGATGTGGGTCACCGTGTGCATTTCTGCCCGGTGTCTGTGCACCTCGAGCTCACCCCGCCTCGTGTGTTGTCTCCTGTTTGGGGTGGGTCGTGATTGCTCCCTAGGTTGAGATTGATGAGGCAACCGAGCTGGCCACACAAGATCAGATGATCGAGAGGCGTCTCGATTTGCCCGAGCCCGAGGTATAAAAGCAAGCTCATAGTTCTCACACTGCATTGCTTACAAGCTTTTGTAAACTTGTCTGACCATGCCACTTCTTTTCTTACTGGTGCCCTCTGTGTGATTTGTGTTTTTGTTCTCAGCCTTCCATCACCGCCAATCCGGACTTTGACGCCGAGGCAAGTGCCATCAAGCTGCGCAAGGCTTTCAAGGGCTTTGGCTGCGACAAAACTGCCGTGCGCGAAGTCATCTTTAGCATCAACAACGAGCAGCGTCAGACGCTTGCGGTTCAGTACAAGACCACCTATGGCCGTGATCTCATCAAGGACCTCAATAGCGAGCTTGGGGGCAAGTTTCGAGACTTGGTGTTGGCTGCCATGGACCCTCCAGCGGATTTCGACGCCAAGTGCCTCCGCAACGTACGCACGATGCACCGAGCTCACCTATCAATGCCTGGCTGTTGCGTCCCGGGCTCACGACTCACAACTCATCTCCTCAAATGTATATATGATAGGCCATGAAGGGCTTGGGCACGGCCGACTCGGTGCTGATCGAGGTCTTGTGCACACGCACCAACAGCGAAATTGCGGCCATCAAGGAGGCTTACCAGCGGTTGGTTCACTGCGCGCCTCCTGCTTGCATGCTTGAGCGTGACGTTGGTAGTAATACATCGAAAAAAAAAAAAAAAACCAGGAAAAAACAACAACACCCCCTCATTTTGTTCTCGCAATTGCCTTCGTTTTGCAGCCTCTTTAATCGCGAGCTTGAAGCGGACATTCAAAGCGAGACCGGGGGCAGCTACAAGCGCCTCTTGATTTCCATGCTGGCGGTTCGTTGCGTGCGCTGGTAAATCAGAGCACACACTTCCAAGTCTTCTAGACCCTCTCACAGTTCACCATTGTCTACTTGGATAGGGTGGTCGAGATGAGAGCACCGAAGTTGATGAGGAAAAGGCCAAGTGCGAAAAATGAATGCCTTTCTTCCTTTGCTTTTGCTTTTTGTTGGTTGTGAGCTGACCTGGAATGCTGTGGTGGTTTTCTCTCTCTCTTCTTGGGCACAGGCGAGATGCAGAGCTGCTGCAGAAAAACGTCTGTGGCTGGTCGCGCGACGAGAGTGTTTTGAATTCCATTTTGGCCGTCCGCAGCCCTCGTCACATTCGCTTGGCCCTGCAAGAGTACGAGAACTTGACGGGCTACGAGATCACCAAGCGCATGCGCACCTTCCTTTCCAGCCATCTTGCGCAAGGTAAACTTGAGTTATGGACTTTGTTGCATGACTGTAGACAGGGGTTGATTGTGCAGGCTCGACGAGCCACAGCTGCTGTCTTCATACACAAGCCTCGTGATCGTTGCTGAAGTGCCTCACCTGTGATGCTCGCCACTTGCGACAGGTTACATCGCCATTGTGTCTTGTTGCCGTAATCCGGCGCGATTCTTTGCGCAACAAATCGATGCTGTATGTGACTGGCGTATCTGGCTCGCTACTGTCTTATACTTCTGTGCCTTTGATGCGAGACAGTGTCCGCTCACCCTCAACCTCGCTCATCTTACCGTTGTAGGCCTTTCGTGGACTGGGCATGGATGAGGCCAAGATCATTCGCATCTTTGTGTCGCGCAGCGAAAGAGACCTGGCGTCCGTGCGTGCACTGTACGAAGAGGTGACTGGCACCACTCTGCACGAGGCCGTTCGCAGCGAGTGTACCCAGGACTTCCGCCGGGCTCTGAACGACCTCGGCGCTGGCCACTAAGGCACACGATGGAAGTGAAGTGGAGGAACCCATGGCATGATTGTTTGCGAAAGCTGAATTTACTCTTTGTTCATGTTCGCGTGCACGTATGATATGGGGCCCCGGTCTAGTCCGACCCAAATGGATTGCAAGGGTGGATTAAGGTATTGACATGTGAACAAACAACTTTTTGGTTACAGCTCGACATCATCAATGTCAAGGAATGACATGCTTTTGGTTGCACGAGCGGGGACAGGCGGTGGTGCCTCAACGAAATCGTCCAGCTCAACGTAGTCCGTGGGGTCCTGGGCCAGCAAAAGGCATAATGTCAGAGTGATTAACCGGGCAAAATGCTCTAAGCAGCCTGAAGAGGGGACACTCACTTGGGACTGGCGGAAAGCTGTGGTTGATGGCTCGCAATACACGTTGGCGTCTTCCTCTAAAAACGCTTCGTACATGTTGGTGTTTGGATGCTGCCTGTTCTCAACGTTGGCGGAACCCAGCGACGTCTCGGTCGGATTGTGATAAGCGTCAACCGTGTCATATATCTGAGGCGTGTCGTCGGCAATCTCGTCATAAACCTCCTCATGGCTATGGCTGGGGTTCGGGCGAAGGGTCTGCAGCGTGTTGAGCCCTAGCATCTCGCGCGCGACCTCATCACTCGATGGACGCGCTTGTGGCTCAAATTGCCAACAGCGTTGAAGCAAATGTCTCACGGCCGGTGGCATGGATTCAGGCTGCTCGGGCCGCATGCCCAGCTCAAGGTGGTAAAAAAGATCACCAGTTGCCAATTGCGCAAAAGGCACGCTTCCAAAGGTAAACACCTCCCACATGGTGACCCCAAGTGACCAGACTAGGAGAAAAACCACAGTGTTAGTGAGATGTGAGATGGAAAGGACGGGGACTGCCACATGCAGGTCCAAAGTCTAACCATCTGATTGGTTGTTAAAACGATGATGGGCGATGCTCTCGGGGGCCATCCACTGAATGGCTGGTGCGGCACAGCCCTTGAAGACAAACCGATCTTTGCTCTCGGGAACGACTGCCCCGTGGCAGATCATGCAATGTAACTCGGTGGTCAGCACAATCTACACAATTTGAGTTGGAAGTATGCATGATTAGTAAAAGAAAAAAACAAAAGGCGCAAACAGACACGACCATTCAAGCAAGTGTCCTACATTGCGTCCGGAGAGGGCTGAGACTAGAACCGTTCGCGAGTGCAGAAAAGCCATGCCCTCTGCTATTTGGTGAGAAAAATCCACCAGTTGTGCCTGCCCAGGCTCGTGCGGCGTTCCACGCCGCATGTGCAAGTAGTCACACAGAAAACCAAGCTCGCCATATTCAAATAAGACTAATTTTGGCTCCGCTTGCAGGCAGTGTCCAGCAAGCCCCGCCAGGTGTTGGTGCCAACCGACGGTTTTTAGAAAAGCCACTCGCTTCAATATTTGTTGTTGCTGTTCCTCAGGCTGCGCTGCTGCAATGACCTCCGCCTCAAACGACTGCGCTGTGTTCTGCACCCGATTACGGACCTGAGCCAAAAACTTGTTGCCAAAAGCCCCAGGTCCCAGGAACCGACCCAGTGAAATCAAGTTGCGATTCATTTCCCAACGTTCACTGTTGCATACTTCCATGGTGGCGTAGGTGGCTGTGTCAAGAGAAAGAGTCTTCCGTTGGCCACGACGACGGGCGAGCACCAGCAGGGTGCCAAGCAAGAGCAGGAGGCCTGCACCCGCCACACTGCCGCCGACCAGTGTAGCCACGGGCCCGCCGACCATGCGGCTAGACGATCCGGAATTGATCGCTTCTAGTACGCGAGGTGGAGAGCTTGTGGTAGAGGTCGAGGAGGTCGAGGAGGTCGAGGAGGTCGGGGAAGTCGAGGAGGTCGAGGAGGTAGTAGAGGTAGTAGAGGTGGAAGAGGTAGTAGAGGTAGTAGAGGTGGAAGAGGTAGTAGAGGTAGTAGAGGTGGAAGAGGTAGTAGAGGTGGAAGAGGTGGAAGAGGTAGTAGAGGTGGAAGAGGTGGAAGAGGTAGTAGAGGTGGAAGAGGTGGAAGAGGTGAAGGAGATGGAGGAGATGGAAGAGGTGGAAGAGGTGGAAGAGGTGGAAGAGATGGAGGAGATGGAAGAGATCGAAGAGCTAGACCCGCTTTCGATGGGAACGCAGGCGGTCTCTCGGTGATCAACCATGTGAAGAAAAGTACCGATGGGGCAGGTGGAGCATGTGCCAGCAGAGCTGCCACCGCAGCCAGATTGGTATTGATTGACCATGCACGTGCGCCCGGCAGTCGCGCACCCTGCACAGCTTGCCTGGCCAGTTTGATCTTGAAAAGTACCCTGTTGAGTAACAAGCGGCGGCCTGAAATGATGCATTCTACAAACGCAAACAAGTAAATGAGACATACCTCTGGGCAGGGTGTGCATTGGGTTGTCAATGTTACTGTGGGTTGATACTTGCCCGCGGCACATGCTAGATGGCAAGCATATTCATGAGGTGCGAGCTGTTAGACGATCAAATAACAATCAGGGGACTTACCTTGGCAGCCGTTTTGAACAATATTGCCGGTGTGTTGGAAATGGCCAGCTCTACAGGCGACGGTGCCGCAGGTTTGGACATCACAAGCGGAGGAACAGAAGGGGCAGCCTTCGTTGCAATTATCATCACACCCATCCGTCATGCTACAACTGGATATTGGGGCATCAACAAGCCAAACACGTATATCAACAATGAATCGACGAAAAAATGCGCAGTGACCGCAGCCGGCGTGCCTTACCTGTCACACCCACAACCTGGATCCATCCAGCGGGCAACGTGGCGGTTGATATAAGAGAGATGACGCGGGCAACACGAAATGAGAAAAGATGTCGGCACATGAAATCACAGAGCCAGATATCGAACCTGTCCCCCAGGTCCCATCCTACGTGTTTGTTCCCATTGCGATTTCACCAGATTGAAGGGCAAGCAGGATCGGAGGTAAGCAAGAGGCATGCGCAAGTGTTGCATTTTTTGCACCAAGTGTAAACGAGCAACTTACGCAGCCACAGGAGTTGCAAACCTGCACATCACATGACGCCGAGCACTAATGGGCAACACGCCCAACACGCAAAGTCAGCAGAGGCGGGTTGGGAGGCTCGATGTCGGGCAAACATACAAAACGCACATAACCATCACAGGCGTCAATGCCCGAGCACCCGTTGTTGCAGGAACTCTGATAGCAATTCAAGCAGTATCCGCCGTTGCTGTTGCAGGGAGGGTTGTATGGGAAAACGTTTCGGCGCATTCTGACATCGCTGACGGAGGCTTCAGGTGTCTCAATAAAACTACGCATGGTGTAGCCTGCTTGCTCCGCATGGCATTCTGCCAGGATAGCCAATTGCCAATTGCGCTGCAGCGTCGAAAGGTAGCCCAGCAGCCCAGGTCGTGGGCTCAGCAGTGAAGCAAGAGAGTAAAACTCTTTGCCAAACACCATCGAATACAGACGCAAACAATGGGTGGAGGTCACGGGCGCGCCTGGGCGCACGGGTTCGTAGGCAAGCTGTAGCCAAGGTAGCGCGGCGTCTGTGGACTTGGCTCGCTGGAGCGAACCCAGGATCTCGGGACACAGAGGAAGGCGCCACGTGGAGCACGCGCGTGATATGACATCTCGCCACATGCCTCCTTCTCTGTCCAAAGAGTAGGTGAGATGGGCGGAGACGGTTCCCGGTTTTGTGTGCGCTACGTGGATCATGGATTTCGGCAGGTACAGCATGTCGCCGGCGAGCATAGTCAGGTTTTGACAGTTGAGCTGTTCGATTGTGCGATGATTGAAATTCGAGCAGCCTGGGGGGGGGCAACAAGGAAGGCGTGTGATCAGGGTCAGAGGCGGTGCGGAGGTCAGTACAGAGGGTGGCTGGTGAGCGTACCGTCAGGGTTGGCATGCCGGAGCTCATAAAGTTGGGCCAGGTCAGCAGGCGAGGGGTTCGGCCATGCTGTTTCAAGGGATGGAGGCTGGCAAATGGTCCACTTTTTGACCCCAGAAACTTGAAGGACTATCACATCGTAGCTGGGCGGCGAAATGGGAGGGAAAAAAAAAGGGGGTGAATCGTGTGAGGTTGCGGTTGGTCACGCTTTGCGCCTTGACGACAGGCATATGCTGACGAAGCTTTTTCACAGGCTGGGTGTGCGGGGGTACAGGAGAAAATAAAAGTAGCAAAACAAAGTGGTGGAAGGTTGGGATTGCAAGGCGGCTGGCTAACCTGTCGGTGTGATAAGGGAGCGCCTGAGCGCCGCCCGACGAAATGTAGGCATGGACCGTGGAGTGAGTCGTGTGAAAGACAGTTTGGAGTGCAAGCTCGAGGTCAGATAGCGGGGCGGTCGTTGCTTCTCGACGCAGGACCATGGATTCACCGCTGGCGTAAAAGCGAGGCGCCTCCTCAGTCCATGTGGGCGTTGGGGGGAGAGGTCGATCGGAACCAGTCGCAGTCTTATACTGAACGGCACCGGGAACAGCGCGTAGCTGTGAAAAGGTTTCACCCATGAACGCGTCAACATTGCAAAGGCGCTCAATCCAAGGGTCGAGCGATGAGAGATTGCGCGAGCTGGTGGCCCGCACATGCCGCAGATTGCGGCGATAATCGTGTCTCAAAAAGGCTTCCAGAGTGGTGGGCGCCAACACCTGGTCCAACACCGACCACGCGTCGTCAGCCCTGGGCGGCAGGCTGGCCTGTGCCGATGGCCCGGGCACGGATGCGCCGCGCGTCCATGCTGCCAGCAGTATAGCACAGATACAAATTTGCGCCTGCCACATGACCACCGTCCATACACGGCAAGGCCGCCTAGGCCCGCCCCACCAGAGGAGCGCGACAGCAATCTACTTCAGGCCACCACAAAACACTCACAGAGAGAGGAAAAAAGAATCGACGGTCCGGTACAATACACCAAGCAGTGACCAGGAACAGGTCATGGACGGCCCAGCCCACTGCCGTTACGCCTCCCCTCGCGGGTCCCTGTCCCGCTCCCACTGTCAGCTGGGTTCAAAGGTTAAAAAGCGAAGTTAGATGCTTGAAGCATGTGCGCATGTTGCTGGTGCAAAGGGAGTAAGGTCGTAATGGTAGGGACATGGATTGTGGATGTGTGTGGGACGAAAAGAGAGGAGGAGCCAAACCAAAATGTCATCATTTTCGTTGGAGGTGGAGTGATGTATTTTACTTTCAGGACGCCCTGCCGGGTGGAGCTGCGTGAAAGCTTTTTTCGACGGGGCTTCAGCGACGGGGCTGTTGCAAAGAGTCACAGTTTGAGGCAGACCAAGTCGTTTCAAGACAATGTAGGCACATAAATACGTCGATTTTCTAGTTTGCATAACATCTTCCCAGCAAAAGAAGGAAGAGATTTTTAAATCACAGGCGTGTTTGGAGCTTCGGGAAGCTTTCCTTCCAACCCCAGCGAGGGTCGCTCAGTGCGAGTGTGCCACACGAGTACGCGAGTAACATCAGTGTCCATGACCTCGAGCTTGGCATTCCGACCAAGAAGTCGTTCCAAGAACATGGTCTCCAACTGTCCCGGTGGGGCTTGGATGGGGAAGTGGACTTCGTTGTCCTCGATTAAACGCGCCGCAAAGGCAAACGACGCCATGTCCAGCGGGTATGGACGGTTCGGATCCCACCCAACGTGCCAGCCCGTCAACTTGGGGCCTTCAGGGGTCATCTCGGAGAGAGGGCCTCCGTAGCGCATTTTCCCAAGGAAGCCCACTCGCCAAATGCCAATCTGTGCACACCAGCGTTGTGAGGGAAGCACGGCTCGCGATGGCGAGGTCAACCCAGGCGCGACACGCCCACGAACCGTCTTGATGCTACGCATGCGTTTGAAAAGCTCGATGGAATATGTATTGTCGTCGTCAGCAAAGTACACCAGGCCCTCGTTGCCATTCTAGAAAAACAAAAGGAAAGAATTGGTCGGCAGCTGGCTCAGGTCGGTGCGCATTGGTCAAAGAGGGGGGCAAGGGGTGTTTTTCAGCCGTAGCTGTCGCGTGACTCATGCGGGCGCGTTCTTGCCCTACCTCGTGCAAAAGTCGGCGAACTTCAGCCAATCCAGCGTTGCGGGGCGCCGATCCTCGAGTTTCTGGCAGCTGAGCAACCAATGTATGAGGATTGGCCCACAAACTGCACCGTCCCGTCTGCACACGGCGCCTGGCACCTACCCGCCTGAGACCCAAGCGATGCTCCGTACAGCCGATGCGCCGATCAATCTTTTGACAAATGCGCCCTTTGCGCAGCGGAGGTGTGGCCGCGTGTAGGTGCGAATAATTGACACCGCATTCCGCTGTCAAGAGGCAAAAGGAGCAAAAAGGTTAGCAAGAGACCATGCATGCTCAAGGTAGGCAACGGGGGCAGTTTGGGCCGTGCACCAACCCATAAACTGGGTGACATGGGGAGAAAAGTCTTCAGCATCTTCAATCACAATCCAGTGCACGCGCGGCACAAGGAGAAGCGTCTACACCCGTGAGAGACAGTGCAGAAGATGTCAGAACCTGCCAGCGGGCAGACAGAATTGTCGTCCAACGCCGTCGCAGCTACCCAGCATACCTGGCAGAGGCGGGTCAGATCGACAAACTGCGTTTCGCGTGCGTAGGTTGGGGTAATCAAATATAGCATGGGTTCCGCGTCATCCGAGACTGATGCCGTCGTGTCCAAAGCTGAAAGGACAGCATCAGATGTTGAAGGGGCTGATCCGGTGGCATGCAGCGGGAGACCTTTGTTTCTTGGCATGAGACAGCATAGAATTAGCGCCACTGCCCATGACCATATCAGTGGTCTTCGCTGCCGTCTGGCAGGCGAATTTGTTGAGGCGGGCATGGCGGTCCAGTGACGGGTCATTGATGGCGGCGGTGCTTAATGCACCAGGTGTAAAATGATCCATCCAACCAACCAAGCGATGGTTCGGGCTGCGCACGGGGTCGCCGTGCGTGGTCAAGAAGCAACATGTTGACGGCAACGGGCAGTCACCCAAGCCCCAGAGGCCTCCAACAGCGCCACTTTGGCGCGCCGAATCGGCGTTCTCAAATGCTGTGAATTTGTGACTGACTGGTGTTACCTCTGCAAGCTGAGGATCCGTGCATACATGCATGGACGCCAACCTTGACCATGCAGCGCAGCGCATCGCGAATCAAGGCCTGTCGAACATTCGGAACCACCGGAGCTGCAGGCTCTGCAACGGCCATCAACGACATTGACCCATGATCATGTGTTCTTGCCTTAGGCAGAAGGAGCTTTTAAGGTGCGCGCATTGACATTCACATGTGAGAGAGAAGAGAGAGTCAATGCGGTGAGAGCAAGTGTCACTTTTAAGCCGAGTGCTGCGCTCGCTTGCTCTGAACTGCCCATGCCCATGGTTAAGCGTGTGCGGAGGAACACGCCAAAGCCGGTGCAATAACCGCAGTCGATCATGCAGGCTTGTGCCAGTTCGGGGAAGCTGGTCCATCCTTGACCGGTCCATTGTGCCAGTCCCGAGGTACCGTTGCTTCGATCATCTTCTGGGGAATTGATGTTTTGCCATCTGACCCGCCTGGAACCAAGGGCTTGACGTACTGTCGTGGCTCTTGAGTGACAAGGTGTGTGCACGACTCCAGCGCGCGAGTGTGGGTGCATCGTCCCCCGCTGTGCCTCATGACGCTCCGCCAGGACGACAGGTTCAAGGTGCCCTAAGATGCAAACCAACACGTTTATATCCACAAATTAGCCTTGTCATTGTTGCCAACGGTCATACCACATGGAATACACCGGCTCTCGTCCGATCGCCGCAGTTAAGCCATGTTGGGCCATGCTAGTACTATCGTGGGTGACCAGATGGGAATACATGGTGCTGTTGGCCTTTTCTTTTTTTCCTCTGTCTGAAATTGTTTTCTCTTCTTTATCTTGCACGTTTCTATAGGCCTATGAGACGTGATGAATTCCTCATCGTCTTGACTCTGTTCGACGTCAACGCAATGGCTGCATTGTGGGGTAGATCATGCATGGTCATGCAAAAAGTCCCAAATCAGATCTGAGTTACCATTCTTTCGAGCCATGTCTGCCTTTGATCGACACGACACATGCTGTGAGTGTGTTCCTGTTAACACGTAAAGTGTGCAGTCGGTTGAACCCACAATGTCTGAGTCTTTCAGGTCGTCATTTCCCACGGTCTTGAGTGCCATTTTACGATCCGGGTTGGGGAAGAGGACGGAGTCTTTATGGGTTCTTATGCACAAGTTGCTCTTGTTGTCACACACACACACACACACACACACACACACGCCCTCGCCCTAGGAAGAAGCCTCGAGTTTGTCGATGGCCTTTTGAATACGCCGCGTGTCTGCATGATCCATGCCCAGCGTCCGGCTTCGAATCCTCAAGGCCTTGCGGTAGTACTCGAGGGCTTGCTCCTGCTGGCCCTGGCTCTGGTAGGCCATGGCCTTGTTGAAGACGGCAGACACCATGCGGGGATGCTCCTCGCCCAACACTGCCGTCCAAATGATCAAGGCCTTGTCGTAATGCTCAAGCGCTTGCCCGTACTGGCCCTGCTTCTTGTAAATGATGGCCATGTTGTTGTAGGCGGCAGCTGTGCTCGGGTGCTTCTCGCCCATCGTCAGGAGCAAAATCTTCAGCGCTTTGCTGTAGTACTCTGTCTATTTCACGGACTCCCTCTGGCTCTTGAAGACGTTGGCCATGTTGTTGTAGGCGCCGGCCGTGTTCTCGTCCTCCTCGCCCAGCGTTGCCAACATAATCTTCAAGGCCTTGTCGTGACACTCGAGCGCTGACTCATATTGCTTGAGGTTGGTGTGGAGGAGGGCCATGCTGTTGTAGGTGGAGGCCGTGCTGAGGTGCTCTTCGCCCTGCGAATTCAACGTAATCTTCAGCGCCTTGTCGTGGTACTCTAATGCTTGCTCGTATTTGTGCTGACGCCGATAGATACGGCCAACTCTGATGTACATGGTGGCAGTGTGAATGTGCTCCTCACCCCGTGTGGCCAAGCAAATCTCCAGGGCCTTGATTGAAATTTCGAGGGCTTTGTCGAACTCGCCAAAGGCTGACAGCACGATCCCAACATGATTGCAAAAATTGGCAAAGTTCATGCTCTTGCCGTCCTCAGATTCACGGTCCCTGACGGCCACCAGCGCCTGCTCCAGGCACCAGGCGCGCAGCTGCGCTTTGATCTTGGTGTTGAGCTCGGGAAAGCCGACCGTCTCCTCCACTGTTTTGAAGATCATGTCCCTGTCGCTTGCCTTGGACGCCTCGGCCTTTTGTGCCTCCACGCGCACCAGCATGTCCATGACCTCGTTGTGGTTGTCGGCCAGGGCCTCCACGAAACCATCAACCTCGGCCTCGGGCAGCCGAATGTCGAGCTGCACCTTGCCGTGGAGGGCGTTCATCATCTCAAACAGACACCACGCACGCGTCATGGGAATCGGGTCGCGCCAAGGGCTCATCACTAGCAGCACCCGGCCGATGCGCTTGATGTTCTCCTGGAACGTGTTGCACCACCTGCGGTGGGAGGACGGTCAGCAAGAAAAAAAGTAAAGGAAAGAAGAAGGAAAAAAAAAAAAAAAAAAAAAAAAAAAAAAACGAGAGAAACAAAGAGCGAGGCGAGGGATCACGGGCACATCCAAGCACGTCCATTTCTTGCAGCCTCCATTCACCGCCAACGCACCATTCGTAGGGGAGATCGGTGGCGATGTGCTGGTTGTTGGGGATGAGGTCGATCCAATAGTAAGCGCCGGGCGCTTCCCGGAACTCGTGGCGCAGGATGGTATCGACTGTGATGGCAAAGCTGTACTTCCAGGCGTGGGAAGCAAAGACGGTGGCCGGAGCGAGGTTGAACTTATGTACCGGATCCTTGAGCAGGAGATCGACCCAGGCGCAGGCGCGGGCTTCGGTGAGGGGCATGACGTATTGAGTGCAGATCTCCGTGAGTGTCGATAATATAAAACGACGATCGCGCAGTTTGGTGACAGACTTACGTAACATGCTGATGTAGGATGTCCAGTTACCACCAAGGGTATTTTTGTGCCCTTATTTTTTCCATTCACTTTTCCCTCTGTTGGAGGCTGGAGCTGTCTGGCAAGATAAACGGCAGCGCCCTGGTGGCCAGTTGATCAATCTTCAGAAAATAAAAGGTTGGATTCTAGTTTTGCACCATTAATTATGATTTAGGCAAAGCTTTTGAATGCTCATCTTCTTGGACTTACTGATTTATGGCTGCCATTTCGGGTCAGCCCGCCTCTGCTGACAGACCGCCGGCATGCGGCATCGCCGGGCTAAACAGGCATGTCCACGCAATGCAACGCCCGGGTATGATGGAAGCTGGGGTTTTCAAGGATGTCGGTGCGCCTTGGTGTTGGGAACCGCTTCACTGTGTAGCTCTTTGGTGCTGAAACCTTGACATTTCCCCGCATACAGCTGACAGTGGTATTTGTGCCTAAAGGCCGAGCGTCGAGCCAAGGCAGATCGTGCATCCCAGCTCTTACGTCAGCTCACGGCGGGTTCGATGACATCCATTGAAGTTCAACAGTATTTAGGGGTCGATGGCCGTCCTCATCAACAACTTGGCAGTCTAGTCAACCTCCTTTGAGCGCCAGTGCCGGGAGGGCCCGAATCGGTCCGACGAGCTTCTTGAGCTGCACGGTATCACCAGAGCAGATCTTGTGGCTGCTCAACGCGGAGACAGCGAGGCATCCAACCTCATGACGTCAGGCGGATTATTCTGGCACATGAGCGCTTAGCTTTGACAAACCGGCTAGAGACCTGCAGTGAGAAGCGTGCGTGTACGAGCCATGGCATGATCGTGGAGGTTGTGTGCGAGCTTCTTGAAATTCGTCGCAGTGCCCGAGAGAACGCACTCAATGAGAACAACAAATTGCTTGATCGGATTCCCAAACTCAGCTCTGCCGAGCTTGCTCTTCTTACTCGTCATCAAGACGCTGAAAGCTCGGACAACCCCGTATGCCAGGTGCCTTTGAGCAATGACTGGTTTCGAGGATTGGAGTCCGACTCGAACATACATCTTACCACCACGGTGACTCAGAACTCAGCAAGAGTAACAGCCGCAACAGCCGAGGCTTGTACGCGGCATTTTTTGAGTCTTGACGAACTGTTGGCAGACCGACAACCAGGGACGATGGGATTGCCTCAAGCCATCTTCCTCAACGGGAGACGGGATGAGAGGGATGTAGAACGAGGAGCAAGTCAAGTTGGCTCGATCCATCTGTAGGGCAAGTTTGACCGTGCTAGACTTTTCGCTGATTTTTTAATAAATAGCGGCAGCGAATGAACAAGCTGCTCCATATCGCGAAACGCGAAGAACGGGGCAAGCAAAAGGTCGAGCTATGAATCGTCTTTCGAGCAACAAACTATGCAGCCATGTTCAGACCGCGCATAAAATGCCTGATACCGATGCACCGGTACGTCAGAAGACGCGCACAGGGGTGCCAAAGCGTCGGATTAACCTCTAGTGACAGCACAGCATCGTCGCGGCCCAAGTGTGTACGGTCAACATGGTTGCTTTGTAAGCTCTGCGATGATAATGTGGCAATGCCTCGTCATCTGTGGCAGCGTCCCTCATCATCTGCTCAAAAGCCAGCACAGACGGTTCAATCAAGAGAGCATAGATCGTGCAACGGCACTCCCGCGTTCACTGCAGTCTGAGGACACAACAATGGATACTGATGCGGGGCTTGCGCCGTTCACATTTGACGGCGTGGGTGGTCGTTTTTGCCATTTCTGCGACACCTTCGAAATTACATCGCCTAAATATAGATTACACAAGTCTGGACGAAGAGAAAGTGGTCAACTCTTTGGCAAGGTGGTCATGCATTTTTTTGTGGGGTCTTTGATGCTGTCACCACGTTTTTTTTTTTTTGTTTTTTGTTTTTTTTTTTCATTCACGTGGCACCAATGCTCTCACTGTACTTGCGAGCTCCCGGTCTTGGTCTGCAACTACCGTCATATCCATCGGAGGTAAGAAGATCAACTCTTTTGTCCGGGCTTGTCGAAGGCGAGAGGCAGCGGTGTGGCTGATCGACTGCCTTTTTTCTGACTCGCGCACTTGAGACTCATATTTGTGTTGAAGTCCCTATCGGTTGGTGTTTGAGTTTGAGTAGTGAGATTCATAGCAGAGGGGGAAGAAGACCAATTGCCATGAGTTCGGATGATGGAAAACAGCTGTACGAGGCGTGTAAATCATGTGAATCACGAAAGGCGCTGCGGCTACTGAACAGTTGGGATCCTCAACGCATTCGATCCGCTGCCACTTGCACTGGTGATTGGGTACGTATGGCGGTTGATAGCCTTGTGTCGAGTGGGTCACTTTTGCTTCGAATGTGGTGGACAGATCTTCACGGTGATAGTCATGGTGTAACCTGAAACGCATGCTGATGCACCTGTATGTACTCCACGCACAGCCCCACTTTACACCATTACACAATGCCTGCGATAAAGGTCTCGTGGAGGTGGTGGAGATACTGCTGAAGCATGGCGTTGATGCTGACGCCAAAACCGCGGTGAGCACCTCTTTTTCCTAACCTTGTTTAATGACTGTTTACTCTTCCTCTTCCTCTTGATTCAATTGTGCTGAGGGGACATAAGGGCTGATTGTATTACTGGACGCATGGTCTTGCATCAACCCGCAGAATGGCATAACGCCACTATACTTGGCCTGCAGCCGCGTCAAGTTGGTGAAAATGCTGTTGGAGTTTGGCGCTGATGCAAAAGCCAAGGTCAATACCTTCTCCCGTTTTTCCTCATGGCTGTTCTTTGATGTTTATCGCTTCCTCTCGCTTTTCTTTTCCGTCTATATGTGTTTGCACCGAACATAAGAAGGATCATCTTGTTATTGAATTCACGTGGTGATGCTGTGCCTGGATGTCATGGTGGTGCATCAACCCACAGTGTTGGGAAACAGCACTGCACCGTGCCTGCTCTTACGGTCATGTCAAAGTGACGGAGATGTTGTTGGAGCTTGACGTTGATGTTGAAGCCCAGGACGAAGTTAGTGCCTCTTTCTTTTCGCCTAGGGCTGCTCTTTGGTGTCAACGACTTGGTTTCTCTCGCTCTTTCTCTCTCTCTCTCTCTCTC